TTAGGTTCCTCAACAGCATTACCCGTATGCGTTTAATTTCATGAAATGCATCAGTCACCATTTCGTGCATCCTATCATGATCTACACTTTGGTCATATTGATACTGATTAGGCTGATGACCATAATTCGATTCATCAATATCAACATGACTTTGATAATTACTACTACTACCAGCATTCCCAGTATTACTGCCATATCCTTCTCCATGTAGATACCAAACAAAATATTGCGGCATAAACCCTCTATTTAATAAATACGTCCACACGGTTTTGGTTAGTGTATATCTCGTATTCTTGCATTTCAAACAAGGACAAAACATCTTCCCACTATCTTTCGTTCTCTCCATATTTGTAGCCTGATACATAAATATTTCTAACCCGTTCTTGAACTCTTCTGTCAACGCCCCATCTGAATCTTTACGCATATACATCCAACTTCTTAGCTCGTATATAGATATCTTGAAAATAAACTCACAATACTATCTCTTTTTATTGATTAGACAATAAAGGAGATGGTCTCTTGTGTCACGTCTAGCCACGTGAATAGAGTAAATTAACCTTATAATATTATTACTTCTTTTTTTCAAAGTAATATAACTCCTAATTCGGGTTTCCGGCAATAGACAACCCAATATATAAGGATTTACAACACTATACTAAAATTTAAGAGACCTACAATGGGTCTCCAAGATGAAGATGCTCTTATGTTTGAATGATGATGTGTTGTGATTGAATGAAGGAATGAAGATCTATTTATTGGAAAATTTTGGGCTTTACAACGCTTTTACGACGACTTTTTACGATGGTTTTACATTCAACAATAATATTACGACGAGTTTACGACGATTTTGCGATAAAATTTTTCATCTACAATTGTTAGGTAAACATGTTTTAAATGTTTTTCACCTAACTCCTTTTTCGACGTAAAATCGTCGTAATATGTACATCGAAATGTAGTCGCCGTATATTCGTCGTAATTTTGAGACGAATTTACGACGGTTTTACATTTACTAGCAAATCTCTCGTTATCGATGTATAATCGTCGTAATTCGTCGTAAATTGTACGTCGAGTTTACGACGATTTTTTTATACGACGGTTTTACGACGGTTTTTAAATTAGACGTTAGATCGTCGTAAAATCGTTGTAAATTTGCGACGATTTAAAAACCGTCGTAATGGACCGTTGGAAAACGATTGTTTTTTTGTAGTGCATTTGCTACGAGTCTGGCCTTGAAACGAGGTTCTTCCACACCTGGTATACCGAGCTTGTATTTGTATATCCATCTGCTTCCAATCACCTTGTGATTCTCAGGTTTGGTGACTGTAGTCCAGGTATGGTTCTTGATTTGAGACTCCATTTCTTCGTCCATGGCCTTTCTCCACTTTTCCCAGTGAATATCCCTTCTTGCTTCATTGAAGTCATTTGGTTCTACTGCATATCCATCTTCTGTTGTGTACAAAGCTTCTGCACAATAGTCTTCATCATCGAATCTTCTTGGAGCCCTTATTTCCCTTCTGTCTCTGTCTCGTACTAGATGATAACTCAGAGGGGTTTGATGAATTGCAGGCTCTGCATCATCAACGTTATCATCGTGAATTGATGGAGAAATAGTTTGGGTATTTGGTGATGGTGGGAGGCCAGTCACTTCTTCAGTATCTCCACCTGAGGTAGAGTCCTCCGTTGTGTCAAGATCAAGATCGAGAAACGATCTATCTGAGCTAGTTTCTTCTTCAACTGAATCATCGTCTTTTCCAATTAGATCCTTGAACACAGCATTTTCTTGAAAAATAACATTCCTGCTTATAATGCACTTCCTCTCACTTATCAACCATACTTTGTAACCTTTAACTCCAGGTGGATACCCAAGCATCACCCCTCTCTTTGCTCTTGGACTTAGTTTGCCATCATCTGTATGTACAAATGCAATACATCCAAACCTCCTCAAGTAACTGTATACTGGTGGTTTTCCAAACCATTTTTTGTCCGGTATGTCGAAGTTAAGAGCTGAAGAAGGGGTCTTGTTAATGAGAACAACTGCAGTATGAGTGGCTTCAGCCCAGAAATTCTTCGACAGTCCTGAATCACTCAGCATTGTCCTCGCTTTCTCCATGATTGTACGATTCATACGCTCTGTAACTCCGTTCTGTTGTGGCGTGTAAGCACATGTCCTGTGCCTTTGAATTCCTTTTGATTCACAAAATCCATCAAACAGCTTGTTGCAGAACTCAAGGCCATTGTCTGTTCTGAGAGTCTTAATCCTCTTTTCACTTTGATTCTCCACCAGACGTGACCATTCAACAAAGCTTTCAAAAGCTTCATCTTTTGTTCTCAGAAAGTAGACCCACACTTTCCTAGTGTAATCATCGATGAAGGAGATGCAGTATTGTCATCTTCCGAGTTACATTGGTACTGATGGTGCTCCCCACAGATCAGAGTGGACATATTCGAGCTTCTCCTTGCTGTCGTGTTGAGCTAGATTGAAACCCACTCTTCTTGCTCTTCCAAAGATATAGTCTTCACATGTATCCATTGCAGACACCTTCTTACCATCTAATAACCCTTTCTTGACCATCGTGTTCATGTTCTTTTGGCTCATATGCCCCAACCTTCTATGCCACAATACTGTATCATCTTGTCTCCTTATAACCGCATGTGATTCTTCGACTGCAGGTTTCCAAAGCAGAAGATACAAAGTATCAAACCTCCTTCCTGACAGCAGTACTTGATCACCAGCCTTGATACTGAGAACTCCATTCTCTGACTCAAACTTGTAGCCAGCCTTTTCAAAGGTCTCCAAAGACAACAGATTTTGGTCCATATCTGGGATATACCTTACATTTGTGAGAGAAACCGTTAAGCCTTCTTCGTTCTTGAGCTTGATGGTTCCAAGTCCCTTGACTTTAGCCACGGTCTTGTTACCCATTCTGACTGAACCTCCTGCATCTTCATTTAGGTATTGAAACCACTCCTTTTTATATGTCATATGATAGCTGCATCCAGTATCCATGATCCATTCATCCTCCAGATGTATATCTGTTGATGACATAGCTTCAGATACATATAGTCCTGTAGCTTTGGCCAAATTTCCTTTTACGTTTGAGGATTCACCCTTGCTGCCTTGCTCTTTGGACTTACTCTGAGCCTTTACTTTGTTGGGACATGAATTCTTGAAATGTCCCTCTTCTCCACAGATCCAACATCCTCGTTTACTCTTGGATTTGGATCTTGACCGACCAGACATATTCCCTTTTTCTCTCTGCTCACTTCTTCCTCTAGTCTTGGTTTTTTCTTTTGCATAGAGGCCCTCAGCTTGTCCTTTGAGATTCTTCTTCGCTGACCCAAACTCAAGCTCCTTTGAGTATATGGCAGCTATGACCTCATCTAGGGTCAAAACATGCTTCCCAGTAGTGTACTTAAGAGTATCTCTCAGCTGGTCAAACTGCTTCGGAAGTGACATTAACAAGAGAATGGCTTGATCTTCATCGGACACTAACACCTCTGTGTTCTCGAGATCTTCTATGAGATGAAGGAAGTCATCGATGTTTCCTTCAATAGACAGATTCTCAGCCATTTTGAAACTGTAAAGTTTCTGCTTCAGATAGATTCGGTTTGGAAGAGCTTTTGATATGTACAACTTGTCTAAAGCGGCCAACATAGAAGCTGCAGTCTTCTCCTTTTTGACTTTCCTTAGAACCCTATCTGTCAGGCTCAAGACAATAGTACTTCGAGCCTTTTTCATCTTTTCAAGCTTCTCCTGCTCATCTTTACCGTCGTCTTCTTTCTCTTTTCCTTCTTTTGAAACTCCAGATTCTTTAAGAGCTATGCTCAGACCAAGAATGTCAAGATGAGCTTCAAGCTTTCCTTCCACATCGTGTAATCTCCTCGTCCATCGAACTTCTCCACCTCTACTCTTGCTGAGGACATGGTTCTCGCTTTAGGTAAGTAGCGATGAACCAAAGACGCAACCTTTGCTCTGATACCACTCTGTTAGGACTCAGAGGCCCAAAGATGTCGACTTTCCTTGGACTTGAGACACAACAAACCAAGATATGGGTGTAAGACACAATAACGAAATGAGGAAGACACAAAACAGAGTGTTCACAAGGAATAAGAGATCTTGAACAAGATATTTGCAGAGAAATATGAAAGAATAGAAAAGACAGGAGCACACACCAAGATTTAACGAGTTCACGGTATTAAACAACCGCTACGTCTCGCCGAGACTTGTCTCGGAATCCACTAGATAAAAAGAGTAGCTTTATACAACAAGACTAAACAAGAGCCCTGCCTAATGCCCTTCACTAGCACTTAATTAGACACTCTTCGAATCAATCTTGTACCAAGAAAACAACACCAAAGCTTATGCTAAACAAGTTTTCTCTAATCTATGAAACTCTCTTCTAACACTCAAGTCTTTCTTACCACTCTCCCTCTCTCTCTTCCACACTCGCTTTATAGCTGCTTCGAATTAGGGCTTCACCCTTGACTCAACTGCAAAACGCTAACCTTCTCAAACGTCAAACGCCAAGGTTGAGTCTCGGTTTCTTCGTGTTGCAGACCATAGCACGAGACTTACTGCTTTATTATACACCAGACAATAAGTCCTTAAGGGGTTTGGCAAACTTTGTGTCTTGCCTTTTTAAGCAGTTGCTAATTCTCCAATAAAAGTGGTCCCAAAAGCAACTTTATTGCAGTTTGAAATATAACCGTTGCAGGTAAGTTTCTTTATTACCGCTGAGTCAAATAAAAACTTACTTGTTCATCATATCCTTTGTCTTCACAGCAACGTCCATGCTTTGTAAGCTGTTTTAATTTGAAAAAAAAAAAAAAAGGAGAATTATCACCCCCAAAAAAAAAAAGAAAAAAAAAAAGAAAAAGAAAGAGAGAATCGATTTAGAACCAAGAGTAAACCGATTTAGCCAATTAAACCAGTTTTCGATTTGTCTTTAACCGATCCAGAACTAAACCCTAAGAATCTCTTTCTTCTTCTTTTCCTCGGCCTCTTTTCCTCCCTACCCCAAAACCTGGATCTTGCGAATTTGAGTTCGGTAAGTGAATGAATGAAGTTGTAATCGGAGACTGCGAATCCTTGATTGAGTAGTCGAACATTTCATCAAGGTATCTACCCACGAGGCTCTGATTCATGACCGAGTTTCTAGTTCTTCTCTGTTCACTAGTAAGCACAGGAGAAATTTCCAGAGATTTCATCGCTACACTGTTGAATCTGCTAGTAATCATCACATTTGCCTTTTGTTCATGTTTTCGTTGATACTCCATGGAACAAGGTCGAGATTTGCAGTGACCCTTTTCCGAAATGCATCTTGTTTCTCCTCTGCTGCAGATGTGAGCTTTCGAGCTGGTCGAAAAGAGCAGACTTTCACAGTCTCTTACCTTGTTGATTCATTGGGGTTCACTAAAAAACATGCAGAATCGATCTCGAGGAAAGTCAGCTTCGATGGCAAAGGAAAGAATCCTGATTCCGTTCTGAATCTCTTTAAAGCTCATGGCTTCACAGATTCTCAGATATCCACCATCGTTACTGCTTATCCAGAGTTGCTTTTACTTGACGCTGAGAAGTCTCTTGGTCCCAAGCTTCGGTTTCTTCACTCCAGAGGAGCTTCAAGCTATGAGCTCGCTGAGATCATTTCCAGAGTTCCAAAGATATTGGGAAAGAAAGGGGACAAAACTCTCAGCTTATACTATGATTTCGTCAAAGATGTTATTGAAGCTGATAAAAGCTCAGAGTTTGAAATCGAAAAGTCTCGTCATTCTTGGCCAGAGGGTAACAACAATAAGCAGTCGAACAAATTTCGAAATGTATTGGTTTTGAGAGGATTAGGCATGCCTCAGAAGCTTTTGTTCCCTTTGCTCATCTCGGATTACCAACCTGTCTATGGCAAAGAAAAATTTGAATCATCACTCAAGAAAGTGGTCGACAAGGGCTTTGATCCGACCACCTCAAGGTTTGTCCAAGCGCTACACGTTGTTTACCAAACAAGCGACGAAACTATCGAAGCGAAAGTTGATGTCTTTAAAAGTTTAGGCTTCTCCGTGGGAGATGTATGGGAGATTTTCAAGAAATGGCCTTTCTCTCTGAAGTTCTCGGAGAAGAAGATAAATCAGACGTTTGAAACACTCAAGAGGTGCGGTCTGCTCGAGGAAGAGGTCCTCTCAGTGTTGAAGAAGTTTCCGCAACTCATTCGCCTTTCAGAGCAGAACATAGCTAACTCCGTTGAAACATTTGTAGGTCTAGGATTCAGCAGAGATGAGGTCACATTGATGATCAAGCGTTTTCCTCAGTGTCTTAATTTATCTGCAGAGACGGTTAAGAAGAAGACTGAGTTTCTTGTGAAGAAGATGAGTTTGCCACTAAAGGCTGTGGTTTCAAACCCTCAGGTTCTTGGATACAACATGGAGAAGAGGACTGTCCCAAGGTGTAACGTAATCAAAACTCTCATGGCAAAAGGATTGATCGGAAGTGAACTCCCTTCAATGTCATTTGTGTTGGCGATTAACGATCAAGCTTTCTTGAACAAGTATGTGAGGAAGCTCGATAACAAGAAGCTTGTTGCTGAGTTGATGGCTATCTTCACCAGAGTTTGTAAGGCACACCTAGAAGACTGAGCAACGTTAATGATTTTTATTTTTGTTTTTTGTGAGTTTAAGCATCATCGTTGTTGATTTGTGAACTTACAATTTTTGGTACAAGCACGAGTTAAACCAAACAAAGATCAAAGATCGACGTTGTGTCCATTATTGGAGTTGTTCTATTTATTTAAAAAGCCATGAAATAAAGCCTAACTTCTTTAGGACATGGGGCTTTGAAGCTAAACAACATGAGGAACCTTGGACAAAGACTCATTTATCTTCTCTTCACTGAATGATAAATCTATCAATTCTCCTCGTAGATACTTGTCGTATGAGGGAAGATCAAAGTGGCCATGTCCACACATTGCCATTAGTATCACTTTTGCTTCTCCTGTTTCTTTGCATCGGAGAGCTTCTCTTATGGTTGCAGCAATGGCGTGAGTTGGTTCTGGTGCTGGTATTATCCCTTCCGTTCTTGCAAACTGAATAGCACCTGCAAGAAAATCAGACCGGAAAGTTTGGTATTACAGTCCAATGCAAATGTAAAAGAGAGTAAATTAAATCTAATAAAACTAATTTGCGGAATTGATAGATATTTGCCATTAGGTGAAGGACCACCTTGGAAACATTCGATTTGAGGAATCGAGATTGCTTCCATGAAACCTTGTTCATAAACATGTGAGATCAAAGGTGCCATCCCATGGTACCGTAATCCTCCTGCCAAAAACCATAGAAAACAAGAATCAAGAATCAAGAAAACAAGAATTCAGTAATCAAGAAGCTACAAGCAAGAACCATGAGCCAAGGATCAAGAATTAAGAAATCACGAATCAAGAAGCAAGAAAACAAGAATTCAGTAATCAAGAAGCAACAAGCAAGAACCATGAGCCAAGGATCAAGAATTAAGAAATCAAGAATCAAGAATCAAGAAAATAACAATCAAGAAGCAAGGAGTTTGAGAAGCCTTTAGGTTTAGTGTCTTAAAACTTAATAATAATTATTACCGGCATGGATAGGATCAGGAATGAAGTCATGTCCTAAAGTATGCATCTTCATCAAAGGTGTCAATCCAGCTGTATCCCCAAAATCATAAGCGTAAACGCCTTTGGTCAAGGAAGGACAAGCTGATGGCTCAACCGCTCTTATAACAGGGTTGATCTTGCCTTTGAGTTTCTCCCTGATAAAAGGAAAACTCAAGCCTGCAAAATTTGATCCTCCACCGGTACATCCTATGATCACATCAGGCGTCTCTCCAAAATCTTCCATTTGCTTTATGCATTCTTCTCCAATAACCGTCTGGTGTAACAACACATGGTTCAATACACTGCCTAGGCAGTATTTTGTATCCTCGTTTCTTGCAGCAACTTCAACAGCTTCTGAAATTGCAATGCCTAAACTTCCAGGGCTTGATGGGTCAGATTCAAGGATTCTTCTACCTGCCTCAGTGAGATCTGATGGCGATGGATGAACCTTTGCTCCCCAAGTTTGCATCATTAGCCGTCTATATGGCTTTTGATGGTATGAATTGGCCACTTGCCATACCTATTAGCATAAAAGAAACAAGAACTTAATAAGAAACAAGAAACAAGAACCTAACCTTGATGCTTATTTCGCAGTCAAGGCCAGATAAACAAGAAGCAAAGGCTAAAGAAATAAGTAACTTAATAAGAAACAAGAAACAAGAACTTAAACTTGATGCTTACTTCGCAGCCAAGGCCAAATAAACAGTAAGCAAAGGCTAAAGAAACAAGGAGTTAACTAGAAGGATTAATTGTTCAAGATATCGCTGCAAGAATATAATCTTTGTACTTACTTCGCAGTCAAGGCCAAATAAGCTAGAAGCAAAGGCTAAAGAACTGCCCCATTGGCCTGCGCCGGTTTCTGTCACAACGTTCTTGACGCCTTCTTTGGCATTGTAATAAGCTTGTGGAACTGCTGTGTTGGGCTTGTGTGAACCAGCTGGGCTACCACCTTCATATTTGAAGTAAATCCTGGCAGGTGTTTGAAGAAGCTTCTCCAATCTCTTTGCTCTACAACCAAAGCAAGAACAACCAAATCTTGATAAAACATTCATCTTGGACTAATGGTGAAACACTTTAGCTAAACTGATGCACTCAGACTCTTGAATCTGTAGTATGAAGAACAGAACAAATCCTCTGTATTATTCATCTTTTAAACATAAGAAGAAGAAAAAATCAAGAACCTGATTAGAGGAGTTGGACGCCAAAGCTTATAGATCTCAAGAACTTCCTCAGGAATATCGATAAACCTCTCTAATGTTGCTTCTTGTTTAATCAACTCATTGGGGAAAAGATGAGATAAATCTTCTGGTTTGATCGGTTCGAAAGTCTTGGGATGCAATGGTGGAGGAGGTTTAACAGAAAGATCAGCAATAATATTGTACCATTGATTAGGAATCTCAACAGATGATTTGTGGTTATTAGATCTCAAAGCTGCTTTTGCTCTTAAGTTAAATCCATTTGAGGCTCTTGTTGCTTGGTTTGACTTTCTTTTCAGAGCAAAGTCATCACCTAAGTCAAATCAAAACCGATCTCAAGACATAAAAAAACTGAACTTTGATCAAGCTTGAGCTTCAATAGCTATTCAAAACCCATAAAAAGAAAAAGAAAAAAAAAAGAAATCTTTAACACAAACGAGAGTCCATATTAAAGGTACCTGTAAAGAAAACTTTAGCTGAGACTGATTTGGTGAATGCGTTTGGAGGCAAAAGCAATTGAGAAGCCATTGCCAATTTTTAATAGAAATTTAGGGATTTTGAGCTTTGAAGACTATGAGAGTGAGAGTATATCCAAGAGATCGGTGGAGAAAATAAATAAAGGATACTCAAAGGAAGGCTTCCCGGCACCCAACGACATCTCACTATCTGAATACTATTTTGTTTTGTCTTCTTTTAAATTATTTTTACTAAAGCTCTGGATTTATTTATCATGCTTTTCTTATTGTAATTACTTTACACATTGTCTTTTTCCTTCCTCTTGTTCTCCTTCTATTTTCTTCTACCAAATTCATCAAACCAAAATCAAGAAATCTCCATAAAGTAATTACAATAAACTATTACTCATATTATTATTTTCTTTTGTTAAATCCACGTATAAAACTAAATGAAAAAAAAAAATTTAAATGATAGGAAAACCAAATCGGAATAATTTTTCAAATTTTATCATCTCCAATATGTTGATGATATTGCGGCATTAATGTTCTATTACCAAAGATTCAACGGCCAAAATCCAAACTAATATATTTGTGGGCAAGAATAGTTTCTAACTGTTCATTCATTTAGTGTCTTTTATGATGGCTATAGGACCCTATAAATCAACCATCAGGCAATCATCAACTCTAGTCACTTTCTACATTTATCACGATCTTTAATTTTACCATAAACATTACCATTTATCTCCCATTCTAAAAACAAATATCACAATTCGCATATACTCTTTACCCAATTGCATTGAGTTTGACTTAACAAGCCTAGCCTTGCTTGCATATTGACTCTTTCAGTTTAGGAAACTTTGGTTTCTGACTTTATCATTTGATATTTCATTTACGTTTATTTACTTGATTAAATCTTCTGCTTCTGTTGAACCGATTCTATTTAGTAATACTCCAAAATCAAACTCCTTCACCAATTTACAATATATGTTATACATTTATAAACATAGCATTGGTGAGTGTATGTATGTATACACATGGTTGAAACAAATAGAACTATGTGGATGAAAGCTGAGCCAGCCATGGAAGGAGACGGTCATGGACAAGATCTGGACGATCATCTTGTGGGCAATGTCCAACGCCTTCTAGAACATAGAGGTTGAAGTTAGGTAACTGACCCGGAAGGGACGTGAAGTACTTACCTACAGGACCGTCAAGAGGGGTTAATCCATCTTGGTCTCCCCATAAGACGAGAACCGGTTTGGTTATTTCCGGAATCAGCTTAATCGGGTTTGGTCCAGGTGGACCGGTCAAGATTGATACAAATGCATCTAGTGCACCTTCGCTGTTTGCTGGTCCAGCGATAATCTGACAAAACATTTTCACACACAAAAAGGTAACAAAATTTAGTTGATACCTTGTTATTGAGATCATAGTGCGAGTATTAGAACCATACCTCTACAAGGGTATCATCTACATTGTCTTTGTTTCCGTAAACATTTGTCAAGATGTTCTTGAGATTTTCCCTGTCTTTAACGCGGTTGAAGAGTGCGGAAGCGATTCCTCTTTGCTTGAGTAAGAAGTCGATAAGCAAGAGCAATGGCATCAGAAGCTTGATTCTCCAGTCATCAAACACAGCTTTGTTGTTCATACCACCAGCACAATTCAACAGAACAAGACCTTTAACCAGATCTTGTTTTGATTCTGATTTTTGCAAAGTCACACACACTCGAGTCTTAGATAAAATAGATAGCAGATAATCGACAACATTAGATAAAAGCAAAGAAAAGAAACTTTGGCAACAACTTCTCGGAGATAAAGTGTGATCTTGGAGACCAATCACTAACTAAAACTCAAATGCTTTCTACCTTTAATTGGTTCCTATGCAAAAGCAAGCTCTTGTGTCACATTTACATATCCTACTGGTTCAAGTTAAGAGAATTAGAAACTGATCCAAGTAGTGAAAAGGGCTTAGACCTGAGGCGGCGATGACGCAAGCAAGGCTTCCAACAGAGTTTCCGATCAAAATAGTCGGTTTCTGAACCACTTCCTCCAAGAAGTTGAGTATTAACTACAACAAACACAAGTAAATCCAACAACCAAAACCAAAAACACTTCTTTAAAACATATACAATGCTGAAGTATTTCAAAGATGGTTACTTACTTCAGCCCATGACTCCATAGTATAGCTAAAACCAGGTGGCTTCTCCGAATCACCAAACCCAAGAAGATCAATCGCATACACTGTATGGTTTTTGGACAGAGCATTTATGTTCCTGAGAATAAAGTTCAGCTTTTTTTTCTTGTAAATGCAATGCCTTTACACAAAATCCATCACATTTCACCAATTCTATAAGAAACCCAAAACTCCATGAATCAAAGATTGAGCTTTTCGAATTTAGGGATAAGCGATACCTTCGCCAGTGAGGAATCGAAGCGCCAAAGCCATGAACCAAGAGAAGGGTCTGACTCGCCGGAGTTACTTCCTCCGGCGAGCTCTTGACGAAGTAATTGATTGAATATTCTCCTTTCCACTTCCATTTATTACTTCTCTCTCCAATCTCAGACAGTTCCACCGCTTCCGCTACTCCTCCGCCGGAAACCGCCGCGCTAGACGACGCCGTGGCTCTAACACAGACGCGATCTCCACGGAGGTTAATCCGTCGTAATGTAACCATCGTTGGAGTCGCCGTTCGCGCCGCCACCATTGTCGGCGGCGGCGACATTCCCGTCCATGTCAGAGCTCTCATCGTCTCTGCTTCTTCAGTTATCCAATTTGGTTAATTACTATGCCATTAGAATTTAGAAACAACTTTCTCTGGTTCAAGTTTCGGTAGAACCCGGTTAACAAATAGTTTGATTAACCAAAAGCTCCAATTTTAGAAAACTAAGTATCAAATAAACCGGTCGGTACAGTGGACTGGGGAGAATCCAAATGGAAAGAACAACAGCCATTCGTTTGGTTATGGAGTGAGAGAGGTGCCCACGTGGCGTTGTATTGATGGTTAACGAAGATAAGCAGGATATCAAATTACAGAATACAAAATGATTGTGAAATTTGTTTTGATTTGATATATACGCTTCGATTAGATAATAAAATATTAATAAAATCGGTTTAAATACAATGACCAAACTTATATTGTTTCACAAGCACACGAACTAGTTAATAAATCGACTCTTCCGCTTCGATTAAAAAAAGATTACCTTAGGGAATCTCACGACCACCTCTAATTCTTCAACTATTGTACTATGATCAATCTATACTATTAAAAAAAAAAGAAAAATGTGTTTTATGTCCAAACAGAATTTTTACTTGATTTCCTACTATTCTGTTTTTGGATAACTATTTGGTTGCCAAACAGTTATGATTTTAATTTATATTTACTAAATAAATTAATTTAGTGTAATATTAATAAAATAATAAATTTTAATTTTAATATAAATTTGAAAATTTAATTTTTAGTTTAGATGTTATAAATTTCCTTAAAGATAGGTTATATTATCAAAAATTATAAAATAAATTATTATTATATTTTTACAAAAATAATAACCCAAATATTAATTTAGATATAATTTAAATATTTAAACTTAAATAATATTTTCAATGAAAGAAATGAAAATTATATATTATTATATTTTTATCAAATAATTTTAAAATTTAAATATTTAAAATATATAAATAATATGAACAGATATATTAAATATTTTAATAATTTTGGTTTTTTGATGAGCATATTATAATAAGATTTTTTAATTATGATATTTTTCAAATCAATATAAATAGACATGTTAGAATAATGTTTTTCTAATCTCGGTCATATATAATACTAGAATAGATAAATCAATAGAAATAAATTATATTTAAATAGAAATTTTGTTATCAATTATTAAAAAAATTTATATATGAAAAAAAAATTTATATTATATAAATAAAAATTAGTTCATGTGCAGACGCACGGGTAAATTCTAGTGTCATCTGAAAAATCCAAAACAAACTAACCGATTTATACTTATGTTATGTTGATTGTGTACTTTCAACTTAAAATCTATTATATAAATGTAAGAATTTGTTTTTTTTTCTAGAGAGTCCACATTAAAAAAAAACACAAATACTAAAATTAATAATTTAATTAATTCACATATTTTTTTTTCAAAAAGAATAGAAATAAAAACTGAAAATAAAAAAGAAAAAGAAGTTAGAGCAAGATATATGATAGAATTGAATGGTCTTTTATTGAAAATCTACTGAGACAATTTGGTTTTGCAAAAAAAAATGAATAACATGAATGATGCGATGTACTACTTCAATATAATACAAAGTTCAGTTAAATGGACAACCCAATGGACAAATTAACCCGGGAGAAGGGCTCGGAAGAAGACCCTTTATCACCATGTTTATTTATATTTTGTACGGAGGTCTTAATTGCAAGAGCTATCCCACCAGTTTCTCACTTACGTTGTCGGGCGATAATTTGTTCTTTTCCAAAGCAAATAAAGAACAATGTCAAAAAATCATGCACATACTACAACAATATGAACAGGTCTCGAGACAGCAAATTAGTTTTGACAAATCCTCTTTACAATTTGGACATACAGTCTCGGAGGAGGTTCAATGTGAGCTGAAACAAATTTTAGGAATCTCTAGAGATGGAAGCGCGGGATCTTATCTTGGTATTCCGGAGAGTTTAGGTGGAGTGAAGAGTAGTATTTAAATTTTGTAGAAAAAGACAACATGATTGGGTTAATAGCTGGATATCGTGTCTATTGGCAAAAGAGAGGCAAAAAAAGTTTTAATTAAATCAGTGGCATCAGCAATGTCCACCTTTTTCATGTTATTGTTTGGTTACCCAGATCTACAACGGCGAAACTAACTGATGTGATCATGGATCCGAAGTAAGTTAACGAGGTTCCAAAGGAGGCATTGGTCATTCTGGAGGCTCTCATGACACGGGCCATGTCCCATAAGCTAGCAGAAGCTTTCCGGATTTTGCTGAATGAAGTCCAGAAGATGGAGGTTCAAATCTGGATCGATGAGGAGCAGCTTGTACATACCATCTTAACCTCAATATCATATGTGGATTCTGCTTGAGGTTTGGCCAATGTGTAAGTAGGTTGTACTCTTTTTCTTATACTCGGTTTTGTCCCAATAGATTTTCCGAGTGGAGGTTTAGTGAGGCAATGGGCTTACACTCTTTTCTCGGGTCCAAAACTCAGCAAAAATGCCAAGGATCATTTTTGGCTGGAAGTTCAAGGGTCAGTCAAGGCAACCGAGAAGACATTGAAACTATCTTTATTCTTAGTCTTTGCTTCATTTAATGTATTTTGACATTTTTGAGTATGGCTCTTGGCCTACTCCTTCCCCTATATAAATGATGTAGAGATCTCAGATCTCATTATTCACTTCTTCTTAATAAATATCGTTTAGAGAATCCTCTCTTCTGTTCTTCGTGAACTTTGTCTAATTTATTAGTGGTTAGCCAACAAATTAATTTTGGTTTATCAAGTGTTGTCTATATCACTTGACGCAGCCTTCACCTCGTTGTCTTGTTGAGACGTTTTAAGTCGTTTAAAGGGCACCAGGATTTTTGGGATCTGATCTCACGCCTGGTCATCTACTGTATTCTCATCCAGTCAGTGAAGCCACCCCATTGTTTCAAGCCTTGATTGCAAGTTTGGGCCCAAGGATCTTCGAGTTCATCACTCACCCCTTGGCATCTCTCTTTGTGAATTATTTGGACTCAAGAATCTATCAACCTCATACTGATCTAGAGTGTGTATTCCGTGGGTAATCATATCACTAACTAGTGCCACAGCGCGATATTGGTGGAGCTCGAATGGTCAACATTAAGGTATGCACTGGATGGCGTAGGAGAAACTGTGTAGAGGAAAGGGAAAAATGCCCAGAATGCTCCTCAATCTTGAATTTTATTCTATAATACTCCACATACAATTATTAATTTTTTTTATTTTTTTTTTAATTCGAAAGTTTAATGTAATGTCTAAAAAACCAAAGAGAATTTTCATAATTACAGATCCAACCACTAAATGGGTCGGGTACTGGGCTTTCCGATGGGTTTGGGTCGGATCTGAGTAATTTTTGTAAGTAAATTTTTTTTTGCTGCTTCTCTTTTTCAAATCAAAAAAAAAACGAGAGAAGAGGAGAGGAAGAACCCTAATCGGAATCGGGCATTTCGAAAAACCCCAATTGTCCGCCTTCAGAACTCGATTGGCGGCGAATCATCCCCTACATCACTCGATCGTCTTTTGTTGTGATGGCTTGGACGGAGACAACCTCCGCAAAACCTCCAACCTCCGCAAAACCGCCATGTTTGGGTAAGGGAGGTCCACCGACCCTAAGCGAGTTACGCAAAATGGTGAGGAGTCGGCAAGAGAAAGTGAAAGCCGGCAATGATGATGATGATACAAATGTGGAGGTATGTTTCGTCCATATGGATTATTGTGTGCATTAAGTAAAACTGGAGCAACTAAACGAAATTGGTACAACTAATATAGGTGAACGCCGAGGAAAAAGAGAAGAAAGAGATTCCGAAAGACCAAGAGGAGGAGGAAGAAAAGGACCAAGAGAAGGATGAAGTAAAAGACCAAGAGGAGGAGAATCCGAAATACCAAGAGGAGGAGGAAGAAAAGGAACAAGAGGATGGGGAAGATGAGGTATTAGAGGAGGAGGAATAATCAGACCATGAGGAGGAGATAGAAAAGGACCAAGAGGAGGAGAAAGAAAAGGAACAAAAGGAGGAGGAAGGTGAGGAACTTGAGGAGGAGGAAAATGAGGAACAAGAGGAGGAGGAGGAAGGTGAGGAACATGAGGAGGGGGAAGATGATGATGAACAGGAGGCAGAAGACGATGATGAACAGGAGGCGGAAGAAGATGTAGACTATCGAAGCCAAGCTATACCACCAGAGAAGTTGTACTTTGAACCCGATATGTTTAATATCAACATCAAGCTGTCAGGAAGATGCTACATTGAGAAGGTTGTGAAAACATTAGAAAAGGTGCTAGATGATAGAGAGTTGAGGTGGTTCAAAACGCACCCTCAGTTCAAGCACTTCTTCCACATGTACGTGGAAGAAAATCATAAATCGCAGGGATGTGGATGCTTATTCTGTGTATGGTGCCTTCAAGCAAGATGAAGGAATGCTGGTTTGTAGTAAATGGGGTGCCCATCCGGTATTCTTTGAGAGAGTTGGGGCTTATTTCTAGATTGAACTGTCGAAGCTACCCTAAGAACTACGAAAGGTTAGGTGGTGACAGTAGTAAGTTTGTTGAAAAGTATTTTGGTGAAGGGAAGAAGAAAGTAACATTGAAGGATGTAGATGAGAAGATGGAGTCAATGAAATCAAGTAAAGTGAGAGGTAGGATGAATATTGCTGTCCTTTACTTCTTAGCCAACATAATTGTTGGGAAGACGAAGACAGGTAATACTGCTGCAGGTGTAGAGCCTTTCTTTTTGAGAGCGGCTAGTGATTTAGATTTGTGTGAAACATTTCTGAGGGGACGATTTGCATTTGATCAGAATATGAAGGACATTCGCAATATAGTGAAGAATTTAAATGGGAATGTGCCTGAAGGTGCGAACAAAGTGTTTCCTAGTTTCATTATTCCTATGGAGGTAAATAAGAATAACTGTCATAATGTGTTGTCTGATTCTTTGTATGTATGTTCCTTTTAATTTTGTTTAGTAATTCATGTTGTGTAATGTGTAGCTACTAGCTTATGAGGCAATTCCAGCCCTTGGTAGACATTTTAGAGAAACTGTTGTAGAAGCCGTGGATAGCTGTCCAAGGATGTGCAAGAGCAGGTTCAAGAAAGGAGATTTGAAAGGTTTTGCACTTTCGAAAATAAATTCTCAACTTGGTGCAACAAAGGTTAGAACTCAAATCTTAGCAAATATTGAGTATATTCTCCATTGCTAGGATCAACCTGAATAGTTTTTTTTGGTTTTAAAAGGATATTCATAGTGTGTTGGCTCCATCGAATGATGAGAAGCAATTGCTGGCTCTCATCATGGACGATGAAGATATAGACCAAGATGTAGCGGATTATGTTGTTGATGGTTGGAAATCGATTTGCTGGAGGAGAAAAGTGAGATATTCTTTGAGGAAATGTTCAACAAAGATGTCAATAGCCGAAAGAACAAAGGGAAAAAGCATTAGTCCTAAAACACCAGCTCGTTAAACCGCATCGACTCCTACAACTACAATTGAGGTAGAGAAACTGATTGCAGGCTTAGAGGGCTTGACGAAAACAGTGGAAGATGGGTTTATGGAAACGAGAAGTAAGTTAGATGATCATGACAAATGAATCAAAAAGATGGAGCTGTATATAGGTGAAGAGAAGAACAGAAATCAAGAAGACGAAGAGAATCGTCTTAATTAACTACTTTGATGCAGATTACCATGGCGGTGGTGAGGAGGCAAATGATGGCGCTGGTTGTGCTGGGAAGAAGCAAACAGAAGGAGAGAATGTGGAAGAGAATGTGGAGAAGGATAAAGAAGAGAACGAGGCAGGAGCTGATGTGGAGAAGGATAAAGAAGAGAATGAGGAAATAGACGGAGAAGTGCCAACCCGTGTAACTAGGACTCTTGGACGAACAAGGAAAAAATCACAATACAAACAAACCCCTTTTACAGAAGATAAGAAAGGGAAGAAAAGGTCAACGAAGGATGAAAAGAAGAAGGGAGCTCCCAAAGGAAAAAAACAAAAGACTTAGAGTATAGGTGCTGGTTTATGATCTTGTTTAAGACTTTTGCTTGTACTATTTTGCTATTTTATTTTGCTTGGACCTTGTTTTAAAACTTATGCTTGTAATTTTGGTTTTAAAACCCAGATTTGTACGGTTTAGAACAAATTAGGTGGCACAACTGGTAAAACTGGAAGTACTAATCAGCTAAATTTGTTTGAAGAACAAATTAGTTTGTTGGAACAACTAGTAAAACTGGAAGTACTAATCGGCTAAATTCGTTCGAAGAACAAATTAGGTGGCACAACTGGTAAAACTGGAAGTACTAATCGGCTAAATTCGTTTGAAGAACAAATTAGTTTGTTGGAACAACTGGTAAAAGTGGAAGTACTAATCGGCTAAATATGTTTGAAGAACAAATTAGTTTGTTGGCACAACTGGTAAAACTGGAAGTACTTATCGGCTCCATTTAAAATAAAATAACATAAGATCCATCATTATTCTACAACATTTCTTTTGAAGCAACTAAACATTTCTTAAAATCTCCTTGAGTTTAGCAATTTCTTCAGCATTTTTTTTCAGCTCCATCTGCATCTGTTTGACCTGAAATTCAAGGAGGGCCATTCTTCGAGTCTTCTCTCCATTAACAGCAACATCCTTCTTGATCCTATCAATCTCTTCTCCCACAGCATCCGCCCATACTTTGCGAACATGTAAGCCATCATTCTACACATAATGAAAAAAGTAAAATCGAAACCTAGATTTGGCAAACCTAAACCCAGAAAATGAAAAAGTTCAACCGAAATTGCAAAACAGACAGACCTTGAAGTTCTCGCATTGAAAGTATCTCGTTTGAGAAGACCCATCGGTGACAACAAGCTGTCCTCCACATGGACAACGATACGTCGGAATTCCATAGTCACCATCCGCTATGCAATACAACATATCGATGTATTTCTAGTTTCTTTTGAACTCGCTGTAACTCTCAGGATCCATAACAAGAGTTTGGGAGGGGTGGAGATATTTTTCTTGAGAGAGAAAGGTTTTTAGAGGACAGAAGTACAAGAGGAATGAAGTACAAGAGGTTTTAAGTACCAAAAATAGGAAAAATAATGAATTCTGAAATATTTCAAATTGGCGCCATTTCGAAATTTTTAAAATTTTGAAAATGAGGGGAAAACTATACATAGTTGTACCTCTTAGTTGTACAGTTTGTCACACTCTCAAACAGTTGTATTTTTGTCGAATTCTATTTTTTTTGGTATTACCTATGATTAATGAAACATGTGTTGGTTGTACCGATCATAACTGCTAACTTAAAGAGATTACAAGCACATTTATGAAATAACATTTAGGATATGTCAAAGTTTGATGATATTGGTTTATACCAAGGCTATTTGGTTCAAAGTATCCATAAAACCTATGATATTATATGGGATAAGTGTGCACAAACGGTTTTCATAATTTGTAAATTACGAAATACACATTGTTTTTAGTAAATGTTATACATTTATATAGATATTTAATTACATATACTCTGGAACTATATGTTATTTTTAAAATAACATATCTAAACCCCGATTAAATATATAGAAAATTTTACAAATAGTTGTTCCAATTAGTTCCAGTAATACCAAAACACTCAAACATACAGGGTTTACGAAAATAGCCGGGTAGTTGTTCCAAGTAGTTCCAGAAAACTCGAACATATAGGGTTTAGGACAATAGCCGGGCAGTTGTTCCAAGTAGTTCTAGTAATACCAAATACGTAAACATACAAATTATAAATTTTCGGGTAGTTGTTCCAAGTAGTGCCAATAATACCAAAAAAAATTTACAAATTACAAATAGCCGGGTAGTTGTTCTAAATGGTTCCAGTAATACCAAAATTCGAAAATGCAAATTACACCGTCTGGTTTGATTCCGCGTTTGTCCCGTCCGTCTCCGCGTTTGTCTCCGAACCTTGACTATAATGTAACCAAGTCCTTGCAAAATTTTGTCCTGGCACCCGTTTATTATCACGGTGGTGTTCTCCCGTGGATGTGAACCTCTTATCCCTCCTTCTTCCTTTCTTTCGCTTGGGTAAATCTGGTGGTTTGCAGACAAAATCACATGTTTCAGCTGGAATTAACCACTGATATCTAGGCGGTACTGGATAGATCGTCCTCATGTATGCTAACTTCCACTGGTCAGTCCAATAATATCTAGAGCACAGGTCATGGTAATGGAAATACCTGGATCCATCTTTTTGTTTGTTGCATTTCATAGCTGCAGCTAACGCATGTACACAGGGGTAATTGTCTATGTCAAAATGCTTGCACTCACAAGTTTTCTGTAACAAGTGTACCACATAAGTTTTCCATCTTTTCCAGTAACTTTGTATATGAACTCGAAACTGTTTAGTTCCACAACAACTAGTTTCTTGGCAACTAAACATCTCGAGTGCAATATATTCTCCACATAAGGCACTAATTTTTCTGTCACCTGACCAAATGCAGCCTCCTTCCTATGTCTGTTAAACCATTCACTAAATTTTGCTACAATCACATCGATCATGGCCAAAATTGGTAACCTCCTAACTTTATTAAAAACACCATTTATCGACTATACACCATTACTATTGTCAATGTTGTACCTTTCACCAGGAAAATAACATCTTGCCCAGTATTTCACACTATTGATGGTCTCTGTGCCATATTCCTGCCCTTTTTCAAGATAAGTGACAGCGGTTGGGTACCTCCTTTTAAATTCATCATACTTTTGCAGGAACTCAGCTTCTGTATACACCTTGCACACTCTCTGAATTTTTCAGCGGCCTCCTCTTTGTTCACATAATAAACATGAGATTTCACATTTTACGACATATGATATATACAAAAGCCATGTTGAGCCCTCAGGTATACTTCACCAACCACTTTAACTAAACTTTGATTACGGTCAGTTACAAAAACCAACTCACCATTATCTGGAAAAATGGTTTTGAACCTTTCGAAAAACCAATTCCAACTTGCATCTTTTTCACCATCAATAACACCAAATGCAAGAGGGTAATGGTGGTGATTAGGGTCTTGAGCTGTTGCAATAACTAAAACACCATTATAGCCAGCCTTCAGAAATGTTGCATCTACAATAATAACTTTCCTCATTCCTTCAAACCCTTCGACGCAAGGTCCAAGGGCAACAAAAAGGTACTTGAACCTCTCTTCACCGTCTAAACACAATTTCGTTTTTGTTCCAGGATTAGCCTGCTCCAGCATGTATAAGTAAGAAGGCTGCAACAAGAAACTCTCCACTGGATCCCCAATCACTTCATTACGAGCTATATTTCTCCCTCTCCATGCAGTAGCATAAGACACTGACACACCAACCTTTGTTTGAAGCAAAGTCATAATTTCAGTTGGTGTTGTGGTCTGCAACTGACTTGCATACTTTTCCTTCACCAAAGATGCAACTAACCTTTTTGTGCCTCTTGTGCTAGCGTAGCCACTACGTGACACCCAGGAGCATGTATGCATTTTATTATATCTGGTAACTTTGAAAAATCCTGATTTTGCACCTTTCACAACTCAAATATGCCAAGCACAACCCTTATTTTTCAGCAGCACATTTCACCACCCACCGCTTCTTATCTGAGTTCTTAAGTGAGATCCCAAAACATTTACTAAGTGAAGCTCTCCGAACTAAATCTATCACAGTTTTCTTGGATTCAAACTCTTGTCTTAACTCCAGACCTGTCCCATCTTCTCATGCTTCTATTGACTGACTTCCTTGAGAAGGACGTGGGAACTCCTCAATTTCAACTATCACACCCCTATCTACCCCACCATCAAAACTGTTATCCATCCCGTCATCAGAACTATTCCCTCTATCGTCCTCACAATTATTTTCCA